AAAAAAAAAAAAAAAAAAAAAAAAAAAGAAGATAGGCAGAGTAAAAGAATTTTGAGGAGGTGCAGACGGGAGGAGACAAACTTGTAGTACTGGGAAAATGTACCAAGCCATGTGGCAGAGCATAGATAAAAAATATGGGTTAATTTAAAATGCAAGAGTTAGCTAGTAACAAGCCTAAGCTATTGACCAAACATTTATAATTAATAATAAGTCTCTGTGTGGTTATTCGGGAACTGGCTGGCAGGACAAAAAAGCCCTCTTACGTTTTCTCTCTCCATGGCTGAACTAAGTAAACCCATTCTTTTCTTTACTAATTTCTTTCAGAAAAAGGCAGCAGGTTGTAGGTCTAAATGACAATAACCATTGTTTTTTACTTGTTCTTTTTGTGTAGGGTTTTGCTCTTTAACCTGATCTCCAAGTCTTGCTCCTCCTGCCTCAGCCTTCTGAAGTCTAGGATTACAGACATGTGTCGTGTCACCTGGCTACTATTTGCCCTGCCCCCAATGTTGGGATAGAGGTGTGAGAAGCTTATGCTCCACCACTGGGCTACCTCAGCCTGGACTACACCATTGAAGTGAGTACAGGTCGGCTCTCTAGCAGGAAATAGGGAAAAAAGCTTCTGCTGAGCAATGGATATTAAGATACCTGATTATGATGCAGCTAAGGTATAGAACTGACCTGGATGCTGATCAACAAACAGGCAAACAGATAAAGAAAATATGGAATTATAGTCAATGGTGCATCATTCAGGTATAGAAAAGAGTGAAAGCCTGTCTTGCATAACAAAACGGATGGAACCACACGGCATTACAGTAAGCGGAATACGCCAGACGCTGACAGACAAGGACTGCAGATTCTCTGACCTATGAAGAAGCTAAGAAATGTCTTGACTGTAGAACAGTGATGAGCAAGGCTGTCCAGGGGAAGGGAAAGATGGACAAAGGGATGCTGGATTTGATCAGCACACACTGCTGTGCACCTCACACAGACCCCATCAGTACACACAAGTAACACCCTTAGCCAAAAGTAAGATACCGAAAAATGATCTGTCCAATGAAAAGATAGGTAAGTAGTCTATACAGTATGAAGATCCCATTTCCACAAATCAAGAAGAAAAGAGGTCTACCCCTCCCCCACAGTTACCTGTCACTTTCCTTCTCACTTGCTCAGCATTCTAGCTATCTCCTTATCTACACTGAACAGACTGCTATTAAAAAAAAAAAACAAGATGGGTGAAGGTTTTCAAACACACACGTATTCCCCTCCTGTGGTAGAGCTCTGATGTAGGTAGACAGACAAACAGTTGGTAGACGGACAAACAGTTAGCAAGCAGAGGCAGAGGCAAGTCAAAGCTCAAACTGCATCAGACAGAAAAATCCTGCCTTCTCTACACAGAACACTGGACCAAGCTAAGAGCAAAATCACTTCTAAGAGTCTTTCTCTTAGTCTGGTTGCAACTAACCCATGCTTGCTACTAACTGGTGACCAGATGTACTGACCAATTGTACACCTTCCTTCATGGAAAGGAATGTCTTTTCTGGGTTCTCCGCTCAGGGTCTTAAAATGCTAAATACAAGCGCTACCATGGAGCCGCACTGCGGACCATGGGAGCCTCCTCTCCCACCCTCCCATCATGCCTGTCAACATGAGTTCAAGCCCTCTGAAGCAGTGCCAGCTGCAGCCTGTCCTCATGGTACCCAGCAACCCAGGAGGACCAGGATGAGTTCCAGGCCAGCTTAGGCTGCCTAGCAAGACCCTGCCTAGAAAATTCAGACAAAAAAAAAAAAAAAAAAAAAAGAAAGAAAATTATAATTAAAAAAATCAAAGGTTTTATTTTATAAAAAAAACCCTACTAGTGGACATATTTATATCAATTAAGTGAAAATCTAAACTCTAACAGCACAGATTCACTCTATAGAGTTAGGTGTCTCTCAAAGATGCTTCTCTGCTTCATTTGCACCTCTGTAGTGCTGAGATGAACCCAGACCTCACACATGCTAAGCAAATGCTCTACTATGAGGAGAACGCACAGCTACGACCGGATTGTTGGTTGGTGTGTGTGTGTGTGTGTGTGTGTGTGTGTGTGTGTTGGTCAGGGCAGAAAACAACCTTTTCAAAAACTACATTTGACCCACTTGCTGAGAGCCATAAAGTGAATTTACCATTTTTTTTTAAAGCTCAGGACACTTCCGGTTTAGCTCACTTCCAATTAGTGCCTCGATTGTGAGCTGAGACAGCCCTAGGCTGCATTCTGATTCCTCCTGGAAAGAGTTTAACAGTTCACTATATATGGGCAGGGGCAGAGCGAAGCCAAACCTTTTAAAAGACCCCATGTTCACTACATGTGAAGCTTAGGAAAACAACTGCGCAGATTTCAGTCTGAAGCAGAAGAAGGGCTCATTCCCAGTAAACTAAGCACTTCTATTAGACATATGCTAAACAGTGGCTGAGCACGGATTAATCTCCTTCATTTACACAGAAGGCCAAAAATGTTTATAGATCTTAAGGGACTGGAGATGGAAGACAAAAATGTAAATGCCATGTATATAGTTCTTCATTCTAGTTCCCAGCAAGCCTTGTGTTCATTATGAGGAATTACCGCGCCTCCCCCGTGGCTGGGAAGGGAAGAGGCAAGGTGAGCAAACTGTAATTATTATGTAGTCTCATTGTCATTATCAGAAATCACGCCTTCAACACTGCTAGGCATAATTTTGCTGGCTGAGCCAAGTGCCTCTCATTATGACCCCTACTGTGCCCAGTTTCTGTCGGAAGAGCCAGAACATACTCCGGGGATTCACAAGGCCAAAGAAAGGGTGGCTTCCTCGTTCTGTCCCATTCCACTCCACAGCCTCGGAAAGTCAGGACTTCCCACAAACATGCCGCCTCCAGAGTAGCTGGGGCCGAGGGCACTCTAGGGCTGCTCCAGCCTTCAGAAAGTGCCGGGTTCCTCCTTCAGCACAGTGGGACTGACCACCAGAGCATCAGCCCACAGCAGGAGCTGGGCCAGCCAGGCTGGGCAGTGGCTCTGGCCCCTCCTCATGCTCATCCCTGGCATGGGAACCACTGGCAGACAATAGCGCACACAGAACTTTTATTCGGGGCCCGCCTCTTCCTCTGCAAGGGTAAACCACACACTGGAAGAGAGATGAGCAAACTTGCCAGATCAAAGATAAAGTGAAGGGCAGAGAAAAATTCCTGATGACAAATTAACCTTGGCTACGGTTGGGCTGTCAGCTGAGAAGGCAGGGACGGGGGAGAAACCGGCAGTTTCCGCTCAGGGTTTTCAGCAGGCTGATAAGGTTACGGGATGATAGCCGAGGTGGTGAAAAACCTGCGAGACCACGTGGTGTGAGGTACACCGTTTTGACAACCTTTGCCCTTCCTTCCTTCAAGAAAGGTAACAACTGCTCAGGGCCAAAGAAAATTAGGGTTCAAGTCCACCTCTCTTGTATCACCCAGCCATCCAGAGACACTGTGTAACCTGCAGAGCCAATGCAATTGCAAATGAGGACTATCCCATACTGTTCCTGTACAGAGGAAATAAGGAAAAGGCTACAGAATAATCATCTGTGATGGATGAGCTTTCTCTTTGTTCATCCCTGGACTGAGCCCTGGAAATGTAAATGGTAAGTTCTTTCCTGTGCTAAAAATGAGTACTGTGTTCTATCCCGGGCTAGCGGTCGCTGTGCATGCACAAACATTGATAAATGCATTTCTGCCAAAGTTCCAAACCTCTCTCACTTAGCCCAGCTTCCTCCCTGACCTCATCTTTCTTATTCACCTCCACCAGAGACCAAGATGCTCCAGGGTCCTCATGAGTCTAGGCAGTACCACAGACCACAGAACATTTTCGAGGCAGCGTCTGCTCCTTCTGCAGCCCCTTTGGCTGGCAGACACCCGGCAGTTCCAGGAGAGATGACCTGGCAGGGTGTTTCTGCTGAAGTTGAGTGTGAAGGGTGTGGAGACGCAGCCAAAAGGCAGTAATGTAAACAAGAAGTTTGCCAGTATTGTCGCCACACATTTAGACTGAGGAAGACCCTGCACAGGAGACTGTGTGCTCTGGCCTGTGTCAGAGAGGTCCAAAGACATCTCAGGAGTCTACTCCAGGCTTCTTTGCTTAGCTCACCAACTGGGGCAGAGGACCTGGGTGGCCTCGATGGCTCTCAGGTGCTTTTCCCTCAGTTGGCCCTGGACTGTCCTGTTCCAGTGACACCTCACAAAACCCAACAACAAAAAGACCCTTTAAACAGAGGCACTCAGACAGCTATTCGCGCTTTCGAAAGACTGGACACAAAAAATGCAGATATTAAGACAGCAGTTCATCACGGCACGAAGCTGGCAGCCTCCCTCAGGCCTCACACCTGGCTCTCATTGACTGTGAGGAGCCTTCTGAGTGCTTCTGCACGCACTGTCCAATTTGATATTCCCTTTCAAAAAAACGATGCTATCACTTAGTGAGCACTCAGAGAATCCTAAGGCGGGTGAGGAAAGTGGCCATGCAGGAATACAGCTTCAAAAGCAAATCAGTCTTTCCCGCCCCTTCGGTGCTGGAACTCAAATCCAGGATACACGGGAGGCATTTGGGCTGCATCCCTGGCTGAAAGCAAATAATCTTTTAAAGCGCAAATGAAACAGGCCCTACTCATCCTAGCAAAGACACTTAAACCCCCATCCTTTACACAGGAAGAAAGAGGAAGGACCATGGGTCCTTAAGACCCTTAGAGTACATTAATAAAAGTCATTAATTCATCTGGACTTAAGTAACTTACACTTCATTTGTAAACAAAAGCTGGGACAGAGAGAGCATTCCACCATCAGACACACGTGAATTAAACGAGAGCCTCCAGTTACCCGCTAATCCCACTATGAATTTAGAACCCCCCAACATAAACAACACAACTCTCTCTCCTCTCTCCTTTCCCTCCCTCTCCCTCTTTCTCTCCTCTCCCTCCCCCCCCTCCTCTTATTAATGGCATTGAAGTCACCTTTTATAAATGATATCTGGGATGGGGGAGGGGTCGTATGAGGAGTCAACAGTACTTTTGGAAGACAATTTATATATAAAAAAAACCTTATCCTCTTGATTTATTTTCTTGCAGCGGGAGGGATCAGGCTAGCGCCTCATACATTTGAGCCACACTTCGTCCCAGCCTTATCTGTTACTCACAAAATGTCTCCTTTTCCTTTTATTCACAGAAATAAAATCTTTGATAAAATTACATGCTGTTCTAGTTCAGCATTCACAAGCATATGGATTTGTGTAATTTCTTATTGAGACTTTCTTCAGACCTAAAGGTTGGTATCACCCCAATGTTGAATGGTTTTATAAAACCGCTATCCTAGGGCCTAGAGCCAGCGCTTCAGCTCCGCAAACAATGACTCTTGCCTCTAAGTCCGGTGTGTGAGCTGAATCTGGTCCTTGAGACCCACAGGAAGGAGAAAGGAAAGAACCAGTGGCGCTGCCCACTGACATCCACCAGGGGAGTGCCATGCCGTTCACTCACCCCGACACATACAATAACAATAAGTACATTTTTTTAAAGTTTTAAATAGCTATTCTCTTTTCTCTTATGAACCTCCTAACTACCCAGTAACCAACTAACCTGATCCAAACAGAATTAATCCCTTCCTATCACAGCGAACTTTCTGTGACCACAGCATCTGCCCCTTCTAGTGCGTTACACAGACACACGGACACGCACCTACATTTACACTATCTTACAAGGCGTGGGTATTATAACCTGGGTTCACGCTAGGCAAGGGTCAAATGTTAAGACGGTGGAAAAGAAACCTGAGATTTATTGAGCTCTCGTGTGCCAAGTAGCATGCTAGCTGCATCCACAGGGCTTACTCATCTTGGGAACCGATGAGGTAAGGGTCATTGTCCTCATTGACAGGGGAGGAATCTAAAGTTCACAGGTGTTCGGAACCTTGCCCGAGTTTCTCAGTTATGGGACGGCGCCGTCTGAACAGACTGACTCCGTAGCCTGGCTCATTCTATTGGACTGGCCACCTTTTTCTTTTCTGTGTGTCTCCTCTGGTCCTGGAAGGACAGGGCTCTGAGTGCAGGGGCCGCTCACACTCAGAAGAACAGGAAGCTTTGCTCATCACTCTAAAGACCCAGAAGTCCAGGGGCCAAGTTCCTTACCTCCTCTGACTCCGGCAGAAACTTAAGCATTTCTCGAAGCGTCTCTGACCCGTAATGCTCACTCCTCCCTTGGTGGATGTCTTCTATGATGGACTGAGGAGACCTTGGAAAGATAAAGAACTGCATTTGCTGCTGGGACAGGAGCCTGTGGAAATTAAAGCAAGCATCTCTCCTCTCTCTCTCTCTCTCTCTCTCTCTCTCTCTCTCTCTCTCTCTCTCTCTCTCTCTCTCTCTCCTATGCTTCTTTTTTGTCCAGAGACCCCACCAGCTCCACTACTAGAAACCACTCTAAGGTTTCTTCCTCCAGAAAACATCCCCAGGAATCCGGGGAAGAAAGACAGCAGCACCCGCCATGGGATCTTGGGGGAAGATGGATGGAAACTTTGCCTGACGAGGGGTTCGTGAAGTCCCACCTCTCACTGAGGCACTATGGACAATTAATGGGTACCGGGGTGGGGGTCGTTTTCCTCAGTGGTATAGCCACCGATAAGCTGCTCACGTTCCTGTAAATAACCCCTCGCTCATGTAAACAACCATAATTAAACTCAGTAGGTTAAAAATAAAAGATCAAAGTCGTGTTGGGGAGAAGAGTTTAGGGGGTGGGGGAGGGTGATGAGAGAGGGTAATGGGGACGAAATGTCCTAAAGTCTGTGTGTATGTATATGAAATTGCCTAAGAATTTAAAACACACACACTACTTTCTTGACATACAGGTCCTACACGGACATCACAGGGCATTTCTCCCTCAGTTCAAGACTGTGAGATCATAGCAAAGGCAGACGCTTGCAGACCCACGGAGCCACCCATCTAGGAAGGACTTGGAGGAGTATGGAATGCCCCTCGCTCAGATTCCAATCTGAACTTCAGCTCAGTCACACTCCCATGGCGTGGATATGGCTACAATTCCAGACGTGAGCAAAAGTCTTACTTTTTAAACTGCTTAAGAAATATCCCAATGTTCATACTTCGCTTCGCATCCAAGACGTTAACCTGGAAAGAAACAGATACATAAAACCCCTTAAATATAAATAAAAAACAGCTGAGCTGAGGCGTGGCGGCGCACGCCTTTCATCCCAGCACCTGGAGGCAGAGCGGACAGATTTCTGAGTTCCAGGCTAGCCTGGTTTATATAGTGAGTTTAGAACAGCCAAGGCCCTGTAGAAAGACCTTGTCTCAAAATACCATAACAACTAAGTAAAAATGAAATAAAAACTGCTGGAAAAAACAAGAGAGTTAAAAATCCATGTTGTGGGATATTTGTACACTGTGAGATATTGAGGTTAGATATCGACAATATAGTGCTGGGATTGGTTTAATAAAGAGCTGACCACTCAATAACTAGGCAGGAGGGATAGGCGGGACTTCCAGGAAGAAAGAGGAAGAAGGAGGAAATGATCAAAGCATGGAGAAGAAGCTGGCCAGGAGAAGAATGAGCAGGACACATAGAAGGAGACAGAGGTAAAAGCCACGTGGTAGAACAGAGCTAAATAAAAATACACGTTAATTTAGGTTATAAAGGCTAGTTAGGAACAAGCCTAAGCTACAGGCCAAGCTTTCACAATTAATAAGAAGTCTCCATGCCATTATTTGGGAGTTGGCTGGCGGGACAGAGAAAGACTCATTACAAACCTGTTAAAGTATAATACTAATGCACAGGGAACAATTTCCGATATGTAAATCTGGTAATTAACACATGCTCTTAATATAGCTTTATGGATATTCTTTATCATCTCTCCACACTTTTACCAGGACATTGTATTTATTTCCTTAGCAGTAAGAATGACACATACCCCTGTGTGTGGTGGCATGTGCCTGCTGTCCGAGAGGAGGAGTTCAAGGCTAGCCTAAGCCACTTAGTGAGCTGGAGACACGCCTGGGCTACGTGACAGTCACTCTCAATTCTGCTCCCACAGCACCGTAAACAAACAAATTCCTTTCTGGACCGGGCGGTTCAGTGGTAGAGTAAATTATCCAGCACATACAAGACCCTGGGTTCCAGCCTCAGAACAATACATAAGACATGTTTATTATACTAATATATACATTCAAATAGATAATATTTTTTAATTAAAACTTTCCTTTAACATATAGCCCATACTTAAAGGCCAAAGTAGATATATTAGCATAACAGGAATCATATGAGAGTTGAAAAGGCAAAATAAAGGAATGACTTTTGATTCACAGACTTAAATCATTCGTTCAGGAGAAAGTAAGGAAGGAAGTACCATAGCCACGGTGGCGCACACCTGTGATCCTAACACTAAAAAGCTTGTTGCAGGAGAATTGTCAGAAGTTCAAGGCCAGTCAGAGATTGCCAAAAAAAAAAAAAAAAAAAGAAAGAAAGAAAGAAAGAAAGAAAAGTATCCTACATTTTGTTTGTTTGGAAGTTTAAAAAAGTTATTTCACCAGGAAGCCTCAGATCTATATATTTATCTCCTCATTTTTCTGTCTCTGAGTTAGAAGGTATCATGTAAGAGGCAGTTTTACTGTGTAGGCCAGGCTACTCACAAACCCCCAGCGATTCCCTGCTGGGGTTAAGCATGGGCACCGCCATGCCTGGCATTACGTGGCACCTTTTGATTTAGCGAATGCTGATATAATTATCCGGTCGTACCATCAAAACCCGGATTGGACTGTAACAAGTTTTAAGTGTTCAAAGAAGATCATATTAAACTATAAGTTACAACTTCTGGAGGCCTGCTGGGAAGTGAACACCCACAGAGGAGGATGGAAGATAGGCTAACACTACTGCCATCTTTCCAATTGTCTTTTGGTAAAAGGGGGCGGGGCTAGAATAAATAGAGACAAACGGAGATTCATTGTGAACAAAGGAGAATCGGGCTTCAGACCAAATTCTGCATCTCGGGGTGGCTTCGAGTTTGTAAGCAACAAGCAAGACCGTTAATGTCACTTCCTGGCCATCAGGTTAAAATTTTACCAAGTATGGCTGCCTCCTTTTGAAGACTAATCTTGAACAATCTCATTACTTACTAACCTATGGGTTTATCTGATGTTAACACAATCACCTGCCAGCCATAAAATAAGCTTCCAAGCCGAGAGGGCGCCCTCCTTATTGGAATCCTACCCGGGGACTGCGGTTCAAGTTCAACGTGAAGGAGGAGAAGGAAAGGGGCAGAAAGCCCAAGAAACCCAACACTCTAGGGAGGAAAGGTTCTGCTGGAATGAGGAGCCTCAATTTATTAAGACAGAAAACCGCTCATTAAAACTTGTAAATTAAAAAGCCACAAGTACGAACTTGTACACCGAGGCGGTTGTGTTCGCCTCTACCTAGAATGGAAACAAACCTGTTGTCTAATTCTCTCACTAAATTGCCACCTCTTGCTGTGTTTGACCCCGGACTGCGGCATCCTTCCTCCCCCTGCACTTTCAGCTCCACCCTCATCCTGTTCACCCTTCCACCCTCCGGGGCTCTGGATACTTGGCGTCCGTCCACAGCCACCGCTGCTGGAAAGGCAAGGGGAGAAATTACTCTTATTATCCCTGTTTGACAGATAAGGAAACCACCTCAGAGATGTCATTTGTGGCTTTCCCAAAGCAGAGCTAGGACAGAATGTTAGCCTGCTTCTCCTTGATTCCTCTCCCTTTCTGGTTCCTGTGAGTTTAGCACTGGTGGGTCTCAATAAATGTAGCCCCTCTGGCGCACCAAGGTGGGGCTGTCCCTCCAGAAATGAGGACAGGTCTGTGAAAAGCAGCCCATCACAGTCTGGCCAAGTCTAGGGGCACCCCCAGAGTTGTTAGTGTGGGATGCCTGGTGACATCACGTTCTCAGCATGCAGATGAGCTTCCAGGAGCCTAAGCCACCCCAGAGAGGCAGCCAATACGCTCAAGTCAAGGGCAGCTGGAGCCTGTAGGAGATGTCACCACAGTCCAAGCAGTTTCTGAAACTGCTTGTCCCTAAGTCAGCCAGTCCCTAAGGAAAAGCCTGAGCTGGCCACGGCTGATCAGCTTACGGAGAAAACAAAGGCCAGCACTTCACCCAAACAAGGAACAAGAGACACACGATAGCACTTCAGGACAGCGCCTGCGCTCAGGCACCCCGGGCTTCACCTACTGCCTGATTCTGCTGCCTTATCAAAGGGGATCCTTAGAACAGCTATAAAGGTGTTTGTTAAAGCCCTTCAAAGAGGGTTATCACAGCCCATGTAAGGAGCTTGTCTCACTTCCCAAACTCTGGCTGCCACAAAGCTAGTGTTTCAGCTGCAGAGCCCTTGAGGACTGGGCTGAAGCCACACACAGTGGCACTTGAAAGGGAGCCCAGCCGGCTGTAAAAGTTAAGTCAGAGGGGACAGGCTGCTGAAGCTGGGGATGTGCCAAGCCAGCCACGAAGGCACTGTCAGCTCTCCCTCCCACCTGGATGTGACACCAGCCCCCTCTCCTCTCTCAGACAGGCATAGAACCCAAAGCCTGATGTGCCCTGCAAGAAAAGGGCCCTGCCATGATGCTGAACCCCCAGCCCACCGTTCCCATGCTTTTTCTAAGCATCAGTCATTACAAAGGCCCACCTCCCATATCCTTTACAGGAAGGAGAAACTGTGTATAATATTTAGCATCATGACCATTTCTAGGTGTACGACTCAGTAGCACTGCGTGTGTCCACGTGATAGCTATGATACCACCCAGCTTCAGAGTGTTCACATCTTACAAGGATGAAGCCCTGAACCCATTAAACAGTAGCTGTCTGTTCCCACACCTTGCCCTAGTCAATGACCCTGGATGGTACTTCCTATTGCCATGAGTTTTTGCATCCCCTTTTTCTACCTCGTGTGTGTATGCGTGTGTGTGTACATTTGTCTGTGTAGGCCAGAAAACAACCGCCTGAGTCAGCCTTAGGAACACGGTTCGCTTCCTTTGAGACAGGGCCTACCATGGGCCTAGAGTTCACCAGTCAGGCTAGACTGGACAGGGTCAGTGAGCCCACGTGTGACGATTACTGGCATGAACCTCCACACTCAGCATTTTCATGGGGTCCCAGGGGTTAAACTCAGATCCTTGTGCTCTGGAGGCGAGCACTTTACTGACTGGCCTACCTCTGTAGCCCTTTAGGTTCCTCTTCTAGGCAGAATTAGAATTCCCATGGGTGGTGGGCTTATGTCAGTTAGCAAGTTTTCAAGGTGGAAGAACAAAACGTTCAGTTTCTTTGTGTGTTGTTCCCTTGGTGGTGTGTTCTCCTGGTGGTATGCTTCCTTGGTAGTGTTTCCTTGGTGGTGTGTTCCCTTGGTAGTGTGTTTTCTTGGTGTGTGTTTCCTTGGTAGTGTGCTTTCTTGGTGTATGTTCCCTTGGTGGTGTGTTTCCTTGGTAGTGTGTTCCCTTGGTGGTGTGTTTCCCTGGTAGTGTGTTTAGGTTTTGTGGTTTGGGTTTTTGGTTTCCTGGTGCTGGTGGTGAACCCTGGCCTTAGCATTGCTAAGTAAGATCTTCACCCTCGAGCCAAATCTCAACCTTTTAAACCGATTTCATTTCACCATATGAAAGGGGGTATCCTTACATATACCAGTCACCTGAAATGGAGGCTCAAAACCTGAATAGCAAATAGGTTGCATTGCATATATATTGTTTCAATCTATACGCTCTATTTCATTCTACAGGTCTTGAGTGTGAGTACTTCCCAGAATCTCAGAACACACTAGGAATGTAGTCATGACTCCAGGAGAATGACCGGTTCTCAAACAAGGGCGTGGGAGGATGAAGCAGCATTGCTCACGGATCTGGAAAGAGCCATCACCCTGGCAGCCTCCCTCCCTGCTCCTGACTCCTCCCTTCCCTCTCTTCCACTTCACCTACACTGTGTCAGCATTCACTCACAGTCACTCCGTCATGGGCAGCTGGTGAGCTCCAGTTCTGACCAGGCCTCCCTAGGACAGTGGACCCTTCCCCGCGCTGGGTCATTCTGTTTGTTTGAGTCTCCATTTGTTTTCTTTAGAGTTCACCAACTTGATAAACCTTAGTGTTGTCCATAAGCGTCACTCTAGGGGGTTAATGAGGTGACTCTGTACTTAAGAGCACTTACTGCTCTAGCAGAGAACCCAGGTTCAGTTCCCAGCACCCACATGGCAGCTCCCAGTCACCTGTAACTGCAGTTCCAGGGATCTGATGCCCTCTCCTGACCTCTGAGTTCTCCTGAATGTATGTGGTGCATGCCCAGACAAGCAAACACATGAGTGAATAAATAAACAACAAAAATAAAGTATTTTTTTTAAAAAAAGAACTGCTCAGAGTGCAAAGGGAGATAAAAACCGAAGTAACAGCGGCGTTTGAGAGACAGAGACTCAACTAACCCCAGTGCTGAGAACTCAGGACATCAGCAACGGACGGACAGGAACTTGGCTCCTTCACAGGGATGGCATCAGTGAGTGTGAAGTGAAGTCTGAGCTGAACCTTTTATTAGGAGACCCGTATATATCAGTGTATCTCCAATTGCTTTATTATAGCTTAATTACCATGACACCATCACATCTGTGATCTCCCAAGTTAATTTTTAGTAACAAGCATATGAGGATGGTAGCATTTCATAACCTCCTGCCCCCCGTTTACTATTTTAAGTGCTATGCCTTCTATGCCTGCCATTCCCACACCAACATCTTCCCTACCCTCCAGCGAATTCTTCGTCCTCTGGAGCACAATGGAACTTTCTAGTAATGCTCTTGTGAGTCCTTTAAAATGAAAGCCAATCATATACTACCGGGCCACTTCTATGTGAGGGTATTATACGACAAGGGACCCAACCTGCTCCTCCGCACGTCTGAACCTCCAGAATTATGGCCTGTTATAATGTGCTAATGTCCCATGTCTGGGCTTGGAGGCAGGCCTCCGGGGAACACACCACTCAGCATGTTCTCCAGGGCACCCGGACAGAGGGTGAGGACTATTGCTTTAGACCCTGGACTCCACTCACGGCAGGGTGAGCTGGAAGATTTATGGCTGATCTTTGTCAGAGAGTAGCCCGGCTGAACTATAGCTTCTATAGGAGATGTACCCGTCAGAAAAGGAAATGGCACACACCAGCTCATTTTCAGTCATGCTGACCATAATGTAAGAAATTGGAAATAACCCCCAGTGGTCTCTTCGGTGGCAATGTCAACTAGCACGAGCTGAAAAGGGTCATCCTGGCGCTTGGCTATGATAGCTTTTTAATATGCCGTCCCTTACGGTCAGGCCCACGAGTGTTTAAAACACCATCTCTGCACCCCACGCTCACAGCGGCCACATTCACAAACAGCGGAAGCAACACAGCTCTCCATGGATGGAGGGATTGATAACCAAATGTGGTATAAGCCTACGGTGTAATATCGGGTGGACTTGATGGTGTCAGGCACGTGCAGCAGCTTAGGTGAACCTTGGGGACATCAGGTTAAGGGCGATCAATCAGCCATGAAAAGACAAAACGCTACACGGATCTACTTCTGTGGGGTACCTGGAGTAATAAAACTCACAGAGACAGAAAGAAAAATGGAGCTGCCAGAGGCCAGGGTTGTGGGGGATGAGAAGCCCTTGTTAAACGGGTATGCAGCTCAGGTTTGTAGGGTGGGCGGGTTTGGGAAATGAACGGTGGGGTCTTCATCACGTTATGGATGCACTTGATATCCATTCAACTAATAGGTCAGGTAGTGAGTTGTATATGTAATTTACAATGAAATATATACTTCTAGGGCTGAGGGTACAGCTCAATATTAGAATAACTGCCTCACATACGCAATGCTCTGGATCCCGTTCTCGGCATCTGAACACTAACAACAAAATCGGATTGAGAGACAGCTCAGGGGTTAAGGGCACTTGCTGCTCATATAGAGGACCCGGGTTTGGTGAGCGCACACAGCAGCTCACAATCATCTCTTAACTCAGTTAATTTCAACGCCTTCTCCCAAGGGCACTGCATACACATGGTACATGGACGGACGCACATGAAAATCCAATGAATAAAGCTTTTACAAAAATAAAATAATTCTTTAGCGCTAGAGAGATAGCTCAGTGGGTAAAGTGTTTGTCAAATAAGCCTGATGACCTCCTAGTATCCATCATTTGCATAGATTCCTCAGAACACACACACACACTCACTCACACTCTCTCACACACACACACTCACTCACAGACACACTCACACACACTCATTCATACACTCATACACACTCACACTCACACACAAATCCGTTCCACAGTAGCACATGTTTCCAGTCCCAGCACTCCTGTGTGAAGGTGGGAAGCAGAGACGGGACAATCTCTGGAAGCTCGTGGGTCAGCTGTCCTGGTATTGAGCTGTGGCAAACAAGAGAGCCCCTGCCTCAAAGGGTCAACGGAGAAGTCCGATCTCCACCCACGCACCACGGCATGCCAGCGCTCCTCAATGCAAATGATAGGCAAACGCACACAATTTAAAAATAACTCCTGCGAAAAGGAAGTTAAAGAAAAAACACACACGCCTATGGTGGAGGCTGTGGTGGCGGAAGAGGGTGGACAGAAGGACATCGGCTCCTGACCTTTGCATCTGGCTTGGAAGTGGACAGCTCTGTTTGTGTCGTAACTATTACGATTTGCACTGCTTGCCCGTTCCCCCTCTCAGGGGCTCTACCCTGCTCTTGGCTTCTCGGGTGGACAGCTGTAAGCTGCCCTTAACACCCTGAAATTTGACCCAGTTCCTCTCAGCTGAGGGCTGCCTCCCCAGGGGCACACCAAGCTGAACCCCTTCTGCTCCAGATGCTTCTCTGGAACATACGCCCCAAGTCCACACACACACACACACACACACACACACACACACACACACACACCCATCCAGTCACCTCAGTGGGAAGAACTGGGAGACAAGAGTGAGACGTGACCGGCTGTGCAATCAGGAACCTCTGCTGGAGCGGGGCCAAGGCCAGGGCACTACGGAAATGACGTTTGAGTCCCTTCTGCTACTGAAAGGGCAGCTGACCAATGGAAGGACAGACAGAAAAGCTTGTGATTAGTACTGGTGACACCACAGCCTCTGGTGACCCATTTGTCCAATGCACTTCACAGTTTATGAGACACAACAACCCTGGTCCCTGGGCTCCCTGTATCTGATAAGAATGCTCGTGGCAACTTCAGGGGGATCATACAGCCAGCTTAAAAGACACTCAGGACCTGGTGGAGGGAGTTAACGTGTTCCTAAGCCAGGAAGGGAAAGAGGTCAGCAGTGTTGGCTCAAGAACTCAATAACGCAGGGAGCGATGCTTTGCCCCAGGCCCCTCCCACTTTCTTATCTAGGCGGCTCCATCGATGACCTATTTTCTCTGCTCCTTTACAACATTTAAAGCAAGGGACTTATATTTAGTTGTATATGTGTTTGGTAACCTAACGGCTGTTTCCTCCTTCACAATAACACATTTAGTGTTAGCTGAAAACATGCTTCATTAAAAAAAAAATCTGTCTCAAAATAGCTTGAAGCTTGGCTCTTTAGAAACCCGTCTCCACAAAGGCCATAACTGAATTCGGAGATCTGAGACAGGGAGGCCATCTCTGAACACATTGCTGAGGGCACACGGATGGGAAGGAAGGACTCTCAAGGCCACTTATCACAGGGCATTTGACCCCCCCGATGGTCCCAGCTCATCCCAGAGAGCTGAGCTCCGGCAGCTCAGCCTTCCACCCCAGGGGAGACCCCAAACTCTAGGTTCCAGCTGAACGTCTCTCCCAGAGAAAACTGCACCAAGTTCGCTAGCAACAGGGTGGTGCTGCGAGGCCAGAGCCCAGCAGCCCAACACGTGTGTTCTCTGTATGAGGTCACAGTCCATGGGGATGCCTGGGAGGATCCCGCGCACGCGCACTCTCTACACTTTCCTGCAGTTTCCAGTGCATCTCGCTCGCATGCTCTCGGGGAGATCTCCCAAATTATCGGAAACACGCAACTCCAACACAGAGCAGCTAGGCCCCTGCCCCCTTCCATCCTCCCATTCTCTCACCTCTTCCCGGGCATCCCTGAAGGATGAATTCAAAGATCCTCCTCTCCTGGGGAGAGAAGCCTTGGAGGTGTCTTCTTGCTGCCCGAAAAGCTCCTCGATGGTCTTCTTGTCGATCTGGTAGTGGCGCTGCTGCTTGGCTGCTAGGGTCCAGATGTTGGTCTTGCCACGTACTTGCTCTTCTGGAATGGTTTTCCAGAAAAAGCTTCGCATCCGTTTCTTCTTACCCAGGGAGCTGTAGCCATTCACGTGAGCAACCGGGGGTAGTCCGGGAGGAGGAGGAGGGGGAATGAGAGGTCCCCCAGGAAGTGGGGGTGGAAGAGGAGGAGGTGGGGAGGGGGAGAAGCCCTCCCCTGAATGTGGGCAAGGTGGAGGTGGAGGCGGTGGAGGAGGAGGTGGAGGAGATGCAGAGGGTGATGTCTGCCCAGTCATGAATGCAGCTGCCGTGGCAAGAGTCCCATTTTCTTTATCGTTGGCCAGGGAGACACAATTCATAACATGCATAGTACTGTTGCCTTCTAAGGAGCTAATTCCTTGACCTTGGAGAAGCAGACACAAACATCAAACTCGGGTTGTACTTCTGGGCCCACGAGTCTGCTGCCAAAAGAGAGGGCAATTGTGCCTCATGTCAGCTTCCAGACCTGCGAAGATGGAGCAAATTCAAAGTCAGTGCTGGCAACGGCTTTCTCGCTAACTTTTTCCCTTCAGGGACCAGGGTCGGTGGCCCACATGGGTAGGTCTTCAGGTCAAGAGAATATCTCAAGGCACACTGGAACAAACTTGTATTTTTCTAAGTCCAAACCACATTTTGTTTGCTACTCGGAAAAACTGCCAGGGAATCAGCAATAAAACCAATTTGGAAATCTCCCATTAATCAACGAAGCATGTACGTAACAGTGCCTGCCATACGATCAGGAGTATTCCCTTTATGAATAAACGACTTGTTTACCAAGAGGTGCCTTCTTCTCTTGGATGATCTATCCCAGCCCTTGGGGAAACTGCCCAAATTGCTGAAGCGTTAGGTGCTTACTTAGTGACCCTGCCTCTTTCCAGTCTGGACACGTTTTCTCCAACCACTGGGTCAAAAGGCATCTTCCATGTTGAAGGGAGCAGGTGGGGCCCTTAAAGAAGACAATAATGACCCAGTTTGTTTCCCTGGAGCCAGGGTCACCCTGTTCCTGCTCCACAGGGTGATGCGGATCCCCAACTAGAGACAAGGGTGCCAGGCATATTGCATCACCTCACTAAACCTCCATTTTCTCTCTGTAAAATTACAGTAATTCAATGACTTCCATCACCCCTTCAAATGCTGTCACCTTAGAGTCTAGAGAAGTCACTCTTCAGAGACCCTAAATGGGTCACCTGCCTTTTGCACAACTGTGACACTATTACAGAGAGGCGATGCACACGGACACACTGCCCCTACCAAGTTCACCATGTATCTAGCCCCTATCCACACAACTCACTTATCTTGGAGACCTGGATTTGCATGGACCTACAGATGTTTGGTTTTGGCTTTATATGTATGGTTGTTACTAACCCAATTCAAAACAGGGTTAAAATAACTACATTTCTCATAAGGAGGAGAAGGGGTGAAGATGTGAGGAAGGAGCTTTTTACATGACTTTCCCGGCTATAATTATCCACTTAGGTCATCATGGTTAGAGCCTCGACTTGCAGACACATGTGGATCCCACAGCACTGGGTTACACAGAAGGAAACCATCTGATATCGCTAATTCAGACATTATGAAACATTATACATACGACCACATGTAATAGGCAGGACTTCCTGGGGAGCAAGAGTGGAGTCTGGAAACATTTTCTCCTCAGAGCCCAGCTCCTCAGCTTCGCAGAGCTGCAGTCTGAGCAGGGGCGGGTGATGACCTCACCTATGTTTCAGCATTTTTGGTCTGTGAAATAGCAGAATACCTTTTCCCCCGGCTTGTGTAAGAAAAATGTGCTAACTCAGGAATGTAGTTAACTATTTCTAATAATTGTTTATGTGCGCAGTTTCCCTTTATCTTCACAGACAACACATTTGCTACACGTCTGGGGAGGGCTCTGGATAGATGGCTCAGTGGTTAAGAGTGAACACCACCCAGCACAACCTCCTACCAACAAAACCTTCACCAACTAATTCATTCTCAACCTCTCTAGGCTACTTCCCAACAATTGTACACCCCTGTCATGTGACTCCAGCTCCAGGGGATCTGACACTTGGGCCTGTAGAGGCACCTGTACTCAAGTACACATACGCATGCACATACATACACATACATGCACTCATCAATAATACACTTATACGCACATATACATGTAGTTAAAATAATAAATCTGAAAAAAAAAACCACATCTTGGGTTTATGGATGAAATGCCAAAGTCCTGGCTGCTAGAAACTTATGTAACAGCTTCACTTTGCTATCAATGGTTGTAAATAGTGAGATTTCCCCTCTTAATATTCAGTGGCTACATGTTAAGTTGTTCATCTCTCCTACACGACAAATACACTTATGAAACATTTAACTGTCTGAAGTTTGTTTATTTTATTTGTGATGCTGAGGAAGGAGCCGGGCCCTTTTGCATGCCAGCCAGGCAGTCCTCCATCAGCTGCTGGCTTATAATCCTTTCTTATTTACTTTAGAGCTGGGCATTCAACCCATAGGCTAAGGATGTATTCAGGCCCTGGCAATATAAGTACTGAATAGAAAATGACATTCCCAAGTGTTAATTTGATACTGTAAAAATGATATCCTGTGTAGAATTCAGTGGTAACAGTGTATTCAGTTGTCACCACTGGGTACTATCTAAGTAATATTGTAAGTATGTATCTAAGCTGACTTCTGGTTCCGTGGTAACAGTGTATTCAGCTATCACCACTGGGTACTGTCTAAGTAATGTTGTAAGTATGTATCTAAGCTGACTTCTGGTTCGCTAGCCATGGAACTGGCTTTTAGAAGGGGTTTTCATAATTATCATCAGGGGCATAACTAGGCTGTCTTCACAGTTGGCACCCCGAAAGCGATCGTGACTCACTGTCAATTACAGTTTATAGTCACATTTGAACTCCTCTTCCTTCAAGACTGTGCAGGTACTTCTGGCAGTTCATCCTTACATATTTCATACACTGTCTGTGCATGAAATAACCCTTGAAGAAGCTGCTAACTCTCCAGTTCACTTCTGCTTCCATATATACCAATGTACTGATACATCATCTCACGCCACCCCCGCCCAAGTGCTGGAGACTGAACACAGAAGCTGCATGCATGCAGGGCAAGTCCCTACCCCAGGGCCCTGAATTGGATCCCCAGCACTGGGAGGTGGGAGGAGTTGGGGAGGGGGTAAATAATACACTGTCTGACCTGGGAAGTAATACTTCATTCTGTATCAGCTAAATAGACGTAAAGGTATGGGATTAAAGCCCTCAGTGCACACTAAGTGAAGAGGTTGGATATTCAAAGGTGGTGTGACGTCATTAATCTTCTGACATCTAGCCCCCAAAGGACTAAGACTTTTGAGTACTGTCCTGTGCACCACCAAGTACCAGATAAAAACTTGCAATAGTTACAAAGTAACACACAGGAACTGCGCATTGATACAATTCTGTAACTACTTCCCACCCTGAAAGAAGAATGCTACTTTAACAAAGGGAAATGTATCAACTGTCACTGGTCCTTTTATCTGGCAACCCCCCACCACATTCAAAGATCTTAGCTCCCCAACAGCGCCCTCCAGTGAGTCAGCTCACTGGCAATGATTAGCTACATGCAAATGCTTTTATTCCCGCTGCTTCAGTTCTGCATCTCTGCTCCCACTGGGCAGGATTTCCAATGTTAAAGAGGTGACAGGAAAAGGAGGGCACAGATACCATTCTAACTCCTTCCGGTCATGTGGTGTGGTGTTAAAATAGAGGAGGCACAAAAAATATTCTATTGCACTGTCCACAGTAGAGATGACACTGCACACTCTCAAGGACGCTGGGAGAAATGCAGGTGATGCCGACACCCTGACAGATGACACCCCCTTGCCTGCTTCTCACAGTTGGCAGTCGGCAGCAGGGACAATGGATCAGTCTGGGAATCATCAAGTATCCCATCAATCTCCCCAAGACAAACAGAGGCAGGCTTGTCCTTAACATCTCCCCAACAGGGGGGACCTCAGCAGCAGGGAGGAGGCTGTTAAATGCAGGGCTGTCACAGACTCTCTGAAGACAGAACCCATCTTCGAGTCCTCTGAATGATAACCATAGTCCCTCAGAGGTGGGGTTGCTGTCCCTCTGGAGAGGATGCTGCTCAGTCGAGCATCTTCTAACTTGGATTTCAGCATTTCACCTGAGCGTAGAATCAGCCAGCACACAGGGTTTGAGTAAGAATGTCCCTAAGAGTTCCTAAAAGTGTTGGCTGGCTCTTGCTTAACTGCTACCCAGGGCTTTCTCAAAGGAGGGTCGGCACCGCTCTGTTCAACAATAATAAAAAGTGACACGGAGCCAGATGGCTTTCCTCTTGCATCCCCCACATGTCACAGATTAGGCCTGGGTTGGAAGGGCAGGCCATGCACCTGATGAATTAAGGACAGGCAACTCTGAGCTACACCATATCCTTAGACGGGAAGAGGGGGGGTCAGGGCTGGGGGATGTTCCTGACTTTCTAAAAAACTATTCCCTTCTTTCTTCCCACCCCTTAGGGAACACGCCTCCACCCCGACCTGTCTTTTCAAGCCTTTTCTTGGTTAAGACAGACGGTGAGTTTCCGAGCAACACAGGGCGGCTTGACACTTCAGCGGCAGCGAGAACCCATGACGGCAGGTTTAATCTGTCACATCATATAAACAAACATTCACGGCTGCGGGAGGTGCCTGTTTCTGAATGCACATTTTCGGTTTCTCCTCTCCCAGTCTCCAAACTAGGAAGAATAGGCACGGGAGTGCCAAAGGATGCTCCTGGAGAGACAGAAGCTCCAGAAATACAACTGGGGACCAGATAGAGCGTCTGCGGAGCGCCCAAATCAAGGCAGAATTTCTTTAAACACTCGCTTCAGGTCTTTATGAGAGTCTTCGACCAGAGAGGGGAGGAAGCAGTCAGGACACCATTTCTTTCCAATCAGAATGAAAACATTTATCTCCCAAGTCTTTGCCCACCACTTTTTTTGGTCCCTAGTACCGCGGATCCACTCACCAAAACGCCCCCCGGTTTCGCCGGCTCCTACTGTGCTTAGCCAGTATCCCCGAAGGCCACCAGCGTCCAGCAGCCTCGCAGCCTAGGATCCCGGGACAGCAGGCGGGCTCAGAGTGGGCGGTCCCGGGTCGGGCTAGCCCAGAGGCCGCCTTATCTGGGCTGGGAAGGCGCGCGTCGAGGCGGAGAGACGCCCACACGCGCCGCGCAGGCTCCGCGACTAGGACAGTGGGAACAGCCCTCCCGAGAAGGGTTCGACCCTATGTCTCCCGGAGGGTCCGGGACGCCCCAGTCCCGGATCGCTTAGAGGCCACTGGAATGTCCGCGCCAGCTGCGCAACCCCTAGGGACTTCCCCGGTGCCGACCCGACCCGACCCGGGGTGGCTCGCCCTGTCCCGGGGTCCCCGCCGGTTTCGGGCGCTCAGCTCTCTGTGGAGTCCAGGGTTCGAGAACCCGTGGCCGCCAGTCTCTTGGACTACCGCTGCGACGACACCGTCTGGTCCCCGGCGCGGGCTCCGAGGAAACGGGCTCACGGCCGCACTGCGGCTCTACACCAAGAGAGAAGGGAAGAGCCCGCGACAGAAACGCAAAAAGGGGACTCAGGCTGGTGGCTGAGACCTTGGCACGCGCAGGGACTGGGGGTGACAGCCAACCCGCCGCTTCTTCCCCACACTTCCACAAGCGCCGGCGCCACTTCGGATGTGAACTTCCAGGGAGGTGTGCAGGCGTAGGAAGCCCCACACCACGGTGGTAGGGGCGACTCCTCGCTGAGAGGGCTCCTGCGACCTGCGCGACTCTCGCTATCCTAACCCCAGAGGTCCCACCCGCGGACAGCGACGCACCGAGCTCGGGGTCAGCCCGGCGCGTGTGTGCCTCGGGGCACAGGGCCTTGAGCTCACAGACCAGGTCCCCGGAGTGGGGTGCAGAGCTCCCGCTTCCCCGCATCCTCCCCGTGCTCCCGCTCTGCCCGGCATCCCCTAACCTAGCCTCGTGGCTCGGGTTCCCGCTCCAGTCCCGTACTCACCGCGCCCGCGCTCCCGGCGCCCGCGCAGCCTCCGCCCGCTGTCCCGGCGCCGCCGACTCTCCGCAGGACTGCAGGCCAGGGACCGCGAGGGGGCAGGGCGGCGCGGAGGGGCGGGGCCGCTGCAGGTAACAATGCTGCCTACCCGGCTGCTCCGCGAGCCGGCCGCAAAGGGCAGCACGCCCTTTCCTGCTCGGCTACCTCCCTCGCTCCCCCTACCACTCGACACCGTGCTCGCCCTAGCCAGCTCCGGGCTCCTGAGACTCGAAAGCCGCCGCCCAGCACGAAGCTCCTGGCACCTGAAGACCCGCGCGCGCGGACAACCACAGAGGGAGATGGAGATTGCTGCAGGGCGAAAATGAGCCCTGCGGTCCTAGTGGACGAGGGAGCGAGGGGGAGGCGCCACGTTCGCTACCGAGCAGGTCACCGCTTTCCACAAAGGAACCTCTGCGGCAGTCTCCTGGACACCCTCCCCTGCGCTCACGCATGAACACCCCGCACTCATTCGTAGGCACGCACGCACCTTCTTCACACACACATAGACCTCCGCGCGCCAGCACGCTCAGCTCCACAATAGTTTCTCCCTGAAGCAATGGGTAGCGCTAGGGGACCTCCCTGGCGGTCCAGAGCATTCTGACTGCCAGGTCCTCTGTGCTGCACGCCAAATTGTTTTCCCTTCCCTCCCCTCCCTTTATTTTCTCTTTTCTCAATGATGGTAACAAACTTTTCAGATTTATTAAAGAAAAAAAAAAGTATGGCAGACCTGGCTGAATGAAGGAGCTCTGTCTGGGAACTGGGAAGAGCCCGCCCACTCGTTGAAGGAAACAGGGAAGTCAGTCTAATCGCTTTTTTTTTTTTTTTCCAAAGTGACTTGCGACTACGCCAGGCAGAGAGAAGTTGAGTAGTCAAAGAAAACTTACCCTGGATAAACCGGCTGCTGGCACCTCAGCTGCCGGGGCGGGAGGCGCCCTCTGCGGGGAATGAAGTCATTCTGCCCTTTTCTGGGTGCGCCCAGATAACCGAACAGCGCTTTCCCAAGCTCTAAGGCCTGACGACTTCCAGCTGATTCCACCAGGTCCCCAGCTCCTGGACTCCGTGACATAATTCCTCGCCTCCTACCGCGAGCCTTGCATGGGAAAAGAGAAAGTACTAGTTCCAACCGTTCCACTATCTAGACCCCCAAACGGTGCCTGCCTTTTTCTTGGCCTTCTTGATGAGTTCTTTGGCCATTAATATAGTTCCCGATTCAACACGTCCACCCACAAACACTGAAAATATCAATGCCGGTCTTGGGCTGGGAGCTCATGTCAATCCAAATGAATATTGATTGCTTCCCAGGTCAAAGAGTAGCAAGTGTTAAGTGTGAGCTGCAAGACAGAGTCTTTTCCTTTTTTCCCCTAATTTTACTATTTATTATTATTTTTGAGACAGAATCTATGTAGCCCTGGCTGTCCTTAAACTCGCTCTGTAGCCCAGGCTGTCCTCCAACTCAATCTGCGTAGGTCACCAGGCCAGCCCCCTTTCCCCTTCTTTAGGCAGCCAGACCAATTCCTTCCTTCACTGTAGTGAGAGCACGGCTCTCAGACCAGGCCCTTTCTGCTGCCTGTGGACCAGCTACTCCAGAAGTTAGGCAAGGGGATATTTTGAGCCTTAGGTACAACATGGTGAGATGAGAAAAGAAGGAAAAAGCCACTTCAGAGGCGTCAAGCCCAGTGGCCCTTCCTCCTCCCTTTGGCCTTTGATCTCCAGCTCCGCTCTGACCCACGGGCCTCTCTAGCCCTCCCTGGTGACCCCCCCCTTCTTCTCCTCTGAGTACAGTCACAAGGCTCTTGCAACCCTTGATCTCCCATTGTCCATTATAATCCCATGGGAATCATTTCTGACTTTACTCTGGACGCCTTCTGGAAAGAAAAGCAATAAAATATGAATAACCGTGGCCTTAGGTTCCCATCCTTGGGAAGGGCCCAGGAAAACGAGAGCCGATTGTCTTCAAGTTATGCTAGGGACTTAAATCCACATCCGACTGGAGGTGGCGTCACAGTCCCGATTCAATGCCTGGGAGTCAGTTCACCTTCCCCTTAAAAGCAGCACTCCCCTCATTCCTTTTCCTGACAGCGGGCTGAGGAGGCTAAAGTGCCAGCCTTGGTTCTTTGCCTTAGGCCCACGGCCACCATGCTAAACTCTGAGTAAGACGATCTGTCTGTCCATCTGCTGCCCACCAGGTGTGGGGCACCCCAGGTCTTACTATCGATCTCCCACCAGCCTTCTGCTTTGTTTTCTCCCCAGAGAAGTATAACCAGACACCTATGTCCTGAAGCTCAGGATTCTTCCCCGGCTTCTCACCAAATCCGCCCACTCCCCCAGAAACTGTTGCCGGTTGCTGTGGGTGCAGGTCCACCTCACAGCTTCCCACATCTGTCTCTAACCTCCTGTGGAGTCATGTGTACGCAGATGTGACCTTCAGTCTGACAAGGCAGTGGCACCCTGCATCTCCTGCCATTCGGGCTTCCCTTTCCTGGAAGCAGCTCGGTATGGAGCCCCTGCATGGACAGGTCTTGTTTATTTCCACTTGCTGTTCTTCTGCACAGTAGATGGTCTGATGGAGCCGAAAGGGGCACAGCTCTCCAGGCAAGGGAGGCAACACGTTCATATACTGTCTGCCACACACATGCACGCATGCCCTAGGCTTGCTGTGACCAGCAAAGGGCTTTGTTCCATCTATGCTGGGAAAATGTGCCAGCCTGCGGGGAAAGCTCAGAAGGCTCCTGAAGCAGGGTGCTTCAAGTCAGCAGGTTTGTGGCTGAGAGGTGGCTGCTGCCGCTGCCCCTCGACACTGAATGGAGGGTACTGTGGCCAGCCTCTAGTTACTTAGCATGGCACGGGCATCCCCCAGGGCCAGCAGAACATCCTCTGGGACATTCCTTGTTCTCTGTGCAGCTTACTCTGCCCTCTTCCAAAGTGGTCCTTCCAGAAAGTTCTAAAGTTACATACCTATCACTGAATGCATTTTCTCCCTTCTGGCTTTGACTTCTGAGATGCTCTCAGCTTGTTTTTTTTTTTTTTTCTTTCATAGAGAGATTGTATTTAATCTGTCATTAGGAATCACTGACTGAACAAAATGTTCAAATCGGCATGACTCAATTTCGGCATACATTCTAAAGCATATCTCATCATTAAAAAGCAGAATTATTTGCTAAAGGAGTCGATTTAGCCCGAGTGCTGACTCCACAGGTCCTTGGATACACTGAAGTCAGTGCCCCAGGCATGCATCTGAGGCAGCAAGCTGATTTTAAGTCCCCCTTTCCCTCGCCCCTCCCACATGGCTTCTCCCATTTTTATGATACAGACTGAGGTTTGCTTAGCTCAACCTTCTCTTTTTATTCTTTCTTTCCTTTTTCTTTCTTTCTCTTTTTTTTCTTTTTGGTTTTTCAAGACAGGGTTTCTCTATGTAATAGCCCTAGCTGTTCTGAAAGTAGCTCTGTAGACCAGGCTGGCCTCGAACTCACAAACACCTGCCTCTGCCTCCCGAGTGCTGGAATTAAAGGCGTGTGCCGCCACCACCTGGTATTACCTCAACCTTTTCATCTTATTCTTCCTAAAAGATACACCTGATGGGGTCACTTGTTCAGATTACAGGCTGTAGTAGCTCTGCCTTTTAGGAGCCGAAACCGCCCAAAGGAACAAACGGCCAATTCTGTAGTTAGACAGACTGGCAGATAAGCGAGAGACTCGAAGACGGGCACACTGTTTCCTCAGGAGGGTGGAAATCTCACAACAAATAGAACCTGCAGATTGTGACTGTCAGTCTGAATGCAAACTTGATTTGAACACCTTAAAGGCAAAATGCAAATGCCATATTCCGATAATCATCCAAACGACTTGTGAGGTCCCCCATTGTTATTCCGCGTGTTTATTTTGTAGGTGTGGATGTGCACGTGCCTCGGTGTGCCTCTGATGGTCAAGGACGACATCAGTCGCTTTTCTCCTTCTATGGCCTGGTTCCTAGGGATTGAACACCGAGTTACAGGCTTGGCTCCAAGTGTCTTTAGCCACTGAGCCATGCTCCACTTGCTCTAACACTTTTCCGAACTACCAAATGCCATCTTATTTCCTCAGGTTACAGACTTTAAATAGTAAGTCCTCTTTAAATTTAGGAAACGTTGGCTGGGCTGTGGTCATTAAGAGGGTAGAACTCAGGTGTGTCAGACGCTAAGTAACGATTTGCCAATGTGCTACACAGAAAGAGCTTTCTCTGGGTTCATATCCATGGCAGCATCAATGACGACTCCCTTGTTATTGTGCAGGTACCTGTCAGTAAGTGGTGCTTTGTTTGAGATAAGGGTCAAGAGATTAAAAACAACTCTTACCCAACACAGGGTTGAGGTAACAGATATCTGAGGACCCTTGTCCCTACCTGCCTATGGAGCCCATTTTCTCCCCTCAAGAGTGTGTGAGAGTTCGGGACGGCGAGGACAGAGGAAGAGAAAAAGGAGAAAGTGATAGTATTGTTACAGGTTGGATGTGCTCAGAAAGCCTTCACCCATTCCTATTGTTTTAGTTTACCCCCAGTACAGTGTTTAGAACCTGCTGGCTGTGACAGCGTTCCAACCTGGAGCAGAAAACTCGGAGTCAGAATGTGCCATGGCAGCACAGCAAGGCACAGCACAGCAAGGCACAGCACAGCAAGGCACAGCACAGCACAGCACAGCAAGGCACAGCAAGGCACAGCAAGGCACAGCACAGCAAGGCACAGCACAGCAAGGCACAGCACAGCAAGGCACAGCAAGGCACAGCACAGCAAGGCACAGCAAGGCACAGCACAGCACAGCAAGGCACGGCACAGCACAGCACAGCAAGGCACAGCACAGCACAGCACAGCACAGCACAGCACAGCAAGGCACAGCACAGCACAGCACAGCAAGGCACAGCACAGCACAGCAAGGCACAGCACAGCAAGGCACAGCACAGCACAGCAAGGCACAGCAAGGCACAGCACAGCAAGGCACAGCACAGCAAGGCACAGCAAGGCACAGCATGGCACAGTAAGACATGGCACAGGACAGTTACAGCACAGCACTTTTCTTATCCACCTCCCCAAACAAGCCAGTGGGCCTGGATAAGAAAGAAGTTAGAGTGTTTGCCTGCAGGTTTATTTTGCTACTGGCTTTAACTTTTCAAGCTGTTTACCCTTTCAAGAAGCTAGAAGAACAAACAGAGTAATTTGAAGCTGTAACTCTCACAGTATAAGCAGTTCCCAAACAAACCAAGGAATCAGCAACAGAACATGCGTGCGTGTGTTCCCCTGTGGGAATGCTATGTGAACATTTTGAGGCGAGGTAGAGGTAGGAGAAAGGATCACTTATTGATTTAGTAACTTTTTTAAAGTCTCTTTGTGCCCCTGGGAATCAAGGGTATACTTTGGTGAAACAGCTTGGGAAACAATGCTTTTGTAGTCGGTCTCTGTTTGTAATAAGCAGGTTTAATAATCATACTTAGGCGACGATAGCAAATAAGGCCAGCCCATAATAATCTGTCTTTTGTTTTAGCTTGCTTTTGGCAGTGTTTGGAATGGACCCCAAGGCTCCATGCAGCCTAGTTACTAACCAGAATCCTAACGTTTCTCAAATGGACTTAGGGAAATAATGGCAACCATTTTCTTGAACAAGTAAAGAGGGTGCTCGCTGCTGATGCTACTGGTCAGGTTTAGCCTGACACTGGGTACAGAGAGAAAAGACAAAACATTCAGCATTGTAATTAGCTTGTATTCACACAGTTCCGTGGGCCAGGTCAAACTCAGGCTGAAAGGGAGCTGGGTTTGTTGGTGCTAAAGCTAAGTTTCTAACTTACTGGCTTCCTTCTGAAGGGAGTCCCAAATACTCGACAATCAGTATCTCA